AGGAAGGAAGGAAGGAAGGAAGGAAGGAACGTACGAAGGAACGAAGGAAAGGAATAAACACGAGAGAAGTGGGACAGAGTAGAATGAAATTGGAAAAGACTAGACTGAATGAGAACCAAAAGATATGGGGCAGTAGATAAGATAGTGGTATAGTAATGCATGCAATATGAGTGGATGGGATGTGATAGGACTAGGTATGAAACTGATTAGAATAATAGGAAGGGATAATGGAAGTGGATATGAAAAGACAAAATGGGATTTAACTATAATATGCATGAATTGGAATATCTATAAGTGGACGAAACAAATCTAGAAAAAGGAAACTAAAAAGGTTTGAATGGGAAGTAAAGGGATAGAAATATTTGAATGCAAAATGAGGGAATTGAATGAAATAATGGAAAATGGAATGGAATAGATAGAATGGGACGAAACGTATATTCTATTGAAGTTGAGAAGTCCTCTTCAAAATTCCCGGTGCCATCTTGAAAGCTAGCCGTGCCTTTGCTTCGAAGCGATAACGATGAGCTTGGAATGATAGAACGTTTTTCGACACATTGAACAATTATTCACATGGCGCAGGGAGTTGTGAAAGGGACTATTATTAATTAAGAATCTCGATTACAAATTTTTACTTTTGTATTTAATTACCTACCTTGCTTTTATTTACTGATGTCCATAATCATTTAGTTTATCCAACACCACAGGGAGCCCAAGTCCAGTTTTGAGCAATAGCAGCAGCAAACAACAACAGGATCAACACAAACAACAGCTACAACAACAGTAGCAGCACCATTTACATCAGCAACAACCACAACAGCAACAAGACAACAGCAACAACATTAGCAATAACAACAGCAACAATAGCAATAGCACTGCAACAACTACAGCAGAAACAAGTCAACAGTAACAACAAAAGCAACAATAGCAGCAGCAACAACAGCAGTAACAACAGCACCAACAACAGCAGCAGCAACAACAACAGCAGCAGCATCAAATACGTCACTTCTAACAACATTGGTAATAACCCAGCTTGGGCTCCGTGTGAAAACACACTCCATTTAAAACTTTATAGAGGGTTTTCACATGAACTCACGCTGCCATGGTTTGTCATTAGTTTCTTTTGTTAGGTAAACCAATATGGCAGCCATCTCTATTGTCAGTTAACTCTCAAGGGACTGAGTGAAAACGCTTTATATGTTGCCAATGCCGTTGAATCATTTAATATCAAACAGTTTATCAAGTTTAAGCACAGAATAGGATGCATTTCCAATGGAATTGTGGGACTGTATAGACCCCTTGCATAAATTTCCTAGAGGAATTGTTCTGGGGGGAAAACAATAGGCCCTCTTTTCTCATGAAAAAAACAACAACAAAAARCCCATTTTTATGTCCCCCAGAACAATTCCTCTTGGGACTCAGTGCAAGGGGTATATAGGTACAGTATGGAGTGTGGGGTAGTGGCATGTCGAAGGAAAGGAGGGGGGCTGGACACCCTCCCTCCTTATACTCCAGTTTCAAGTATACTTTGCTTCGCCTTAGCCTCAGTTGTTAAAATATTCAACCATGCAACCAAAACCAGTGGCATTTTAATCAACACGTATCTTTAATCAACACGTATAATAAAAGAAAAGAAAAAGAATCGTAGACAATTGAGGCTAAGACTGAGCAAAGGCGAACTCGAAATAGGAGTATTATCAGCTTCTAGTTAATTTATTAGTTTATTAGAAAAGGCATAATGATAATGTTTTAAAACTTTTATATTGTTCCATGTTAATACATGACCAATTGGTTCTTTCCATGATTTATACTGCTTGGGGTTCCTGTCCATTTGGCATGAATGTTCATGTCTCAAACTCACAAATAAATAACATTTTTAAACACTTGAAAATACTTTATATGACTTTGTTGTTTGAAAGACACCTGCCAATCAACCAAATATTTATGAGATAATTAACACCTGAATATCTCAACTGTACTTGTTTGATAGACACCTGCCAATCAACCAAATA